ATATACATTTTCTTTATCGAAATAAATGAACACATTCCGCAATTGAAAAAAAAACAACTTCAACGCACATTAATTATTGATTAAATGTAACTTTAATTAACGAAACGTTTATGGGAATAGTAATAAGTCCAATTTCGTTTTTTTTTTTGTAAATCATGCATATCAATTAAAAGCAATTAACTAATTAACTCGGAAACAATGGAATAAACCAATTACTTTTATTCATCAGGGGGATGCGATTGTCATTTATTTTTAAACGCGGAAAGTATTTTCATTGTGTTAATGAACGCTCCTTTTTTTTTATCGACAGTTTGACGTGCGATTCAATAAATTTAAATATATATATTTATATTGTTTGGATAACCTCCCGTTAATATTATCTACATGATAAAAAAATGCATACTTTGTGTGGTCGCTATATATAGCTTCAGTATTGGGCGTTTTCCATTCATCCAGTTAGTTTACAGCAAACGAATTCTCTATATAAGTAAAAAAAAAACACAATTTATTTTCTATTATATTCTTTACTGAATGTGTCTCGAATTTATTGTTTCTTTTTTAATATTTTCTAGTCGGACGCCATTTTGATGTAGAAATTTCACAAAAACGTTTCGGATTCTAATTCACATTCCGATTATGCAGGATCTATGACATATGTCATAAATGACAGTAGCAATTATTACGTCAACTATCTGAAAATTGACAGTTGACGTTTTAACTGTCATCCGATAACTATTGCTTAACGCTTAACTTTTGAAATGCTAAACTGTACAGAATAAGTTTACGTAAATTGTTTATGTTAGTGTTGATTTCTGTAAATAAAATGTTGTTGGTTTTCGAATCGTGTGGGCTTCGGAGGAACGTCATCACGTGATTCATCTATTTTGAAACATTGGGTTTTACGCGTCGGAAATATCATACAAATATCTGATTTGTATAATATCAAGTAACCGTAAACATTCTGTGAAACAATGCGTTTATTTATTGTTTACAAATGGCTGCGCGATATCGGATAAAATGGATGCATTTATTTATACGGACGAATATTTCTATATGTACAAAGAATGAAGAAGTAAAAAAAAGTGAAGAGAAACAAACAGCAATAATTGATAAACACGGTGTGTTGTGCGAGTTGCGATAATGGCGCGTTCCTCGTGATAGTGCGGCATCCACAGTAAACAATCCGTTCCACGCATGCACATGTAGACATAACATTTTTCTTATAATAATTACAAGAAGAAGAAACCTTCAACTTTTCACTTGATCCTTGGAAATAATAGTAATTGCGTGTGCAAATGATTTTATTTTCAAAATTATATATTAGTTTGTTTGTTTGTGGTCCTTTTTTGGATCCGTACGGTCGATGCCTTTTCTTTTACCTACGCTACTGGTGGCGTTGGTATATTTTTGGTTTCGAACGCGCATACTTTGGCAATGATGACAAAAAGAACCACAGCAAAATAACAATAAGAATGTTAAACTCGGTGTGGCGCACGCGCCGCACGTTTATAAATAGCTGCGAGAGAAAAAGATGAATCCGTTCGACGCTTCTTATCGCTCTCTGCATTCATGCATGTTGTTGTACGCAACAAAATTTTAATAATTGTGCATTGATCGAAGTTCAATGCGTCTTAAGATCATTAAGTTCTTGGTAACAAGGCTAACTTTATATAAAAAGAAAATCCACAATCTTTCATTCATTATAGAATAACAGAGTGTCATAAAAGAAACGTTACTATTTGATTTGTATATAAAATAATATAAATGTCTATCTTTTTTACTCAATTTTAATAATTGAGCATTAATCAAAGTTAAATGAAAATTAAGATCATAAAGTTCTTGGTAACAAGGCTAACTTTATATAAAAAGAAAATCCACAATCTTTCATTCATTGCAGAATAACAGGGTGTCATAAAAGAAACGTTACTATTTGATTGTTAAATAAAATTATATAAATGTCTATCTTCTTTTATTCAATTTTAATAATTATGTATTAATCAAAGTTAAATGAAAATTAAGATCATAAAGTTTTTGGTAACAAGGCTAACTTTATACAAAAAGAACATCCACAGGGTGTCATAAAAGAAACGTTATAATTGTGCATTAATCAAAGTTAAAAGCGTCTTATGATCATTAAGTTTTTGGTAAAAAGGTTAACTTTGTATAAAAAGAAAATCCACAATTTTAATAATTGGGCATTAATCAAAGTTAAATGTGTATTAAGATCATTAAATTCTTGGTAACAAGGCTAACTTTATATGAAAAGAAAATCCACAATCTTTCATTCATTGCAGAATAACAGAGTGTTATAAAAGAAATGTTACTATTTGATTTTTTAATAAAATAAAACAAATGTGTATTTTTTTTATTCAATTTTAATAATTATGTATTAATCAAAGTTAAATGAAAATTAAGATCATGAAGTTCTTTTTAATAAGGCTAACTTTATACAAAATGAACATCCACAGGGTGTCATAAAAGAAACGTTACTATTTGATTAAAGTTAAATGAAAATTAAGATCATAAAGTTCTTGGTAACAAGACTAACTTTATATAAAAAGAAAATCCACAATCTTTCATTCATTATAGAATAACAGAGTGTCATAAAAGAAGCGTTACTATTTGATTGTCAAATAAAATAATACAAATGTCTATCTTTTTTATTCAATTTTAATAATTATGCATTAATCAAAGTTAAATGAAAATTAGGATAATAAAGTTCTTGGTAACAAGGCTAACTTTATACAAAATGAACATTCACAGGGTGTCATAAAAGAAACGTTACTATTTGATTTTTAAATAAAATAATAAAAATGTCTATCTTTTTTACTCAATTTTAATAATTGGGCATTAATCAAAGTTAAATCTGTCTTAAAATAATGAAGTTCTTGGTAACAAAGCTAACTTTATATAAAAAGAAAATCCACAATCTTTCATTCATTGCAGAATAACAGACTGTCATAAAAGAAACGTTACTATTTGATTGTCAAATAAAACAATACAAATGTTTATCTTTTTTACTCAATTTTAATAATTGTTAAATGCGTTTTGAGATCATGAAGTTCTTGGTAACAAAACTAACTTTATACAAAAAAAAATCCACGATCTCTAATTGATTATAGAATAACAGACTGTCATAAAAGAAGCGTTACTATTTGATTCATAAATAAAATAATATAAATGTATATTTTTCTTACACAATTTTAATAATTTAATTGATCAGAGTTAAATGCATCTTAAGACCAAGAAGTACTTGCAAACAAAGTTAACTTTATACAAAAAAAAAGAACACAATATGACTCATAAAAGTTATTTTTAAATAAATTATTATATATGTATATTTTGTTTCAACAATAATTTACGAAATTTTATTAATTGTCTAATGATCAAAGTGAAATTTATCTTAAGACGATGGAACTTCGTATTGACTAAGTTTATAGAAAAAAATCCATATTAAAATCAACAAATTTTAATTTATTATAGAATAAGAGAGTGTCATAAAAGAAGCGTTACTATTTCATTTTTAAATAACTTTCAAATAAAATAATATAAATGTGCATTTTATTCATCAATACTTTACTCAAATCTTGCAATTATGTATAGAATAATTTTATTATAACATTTTCATCCATTATTTACATGAGCACTTAAAGAAACTTGTGTAATTTTACATTAATTGCTACAATATCGATTAGCATTTTACGTCAGTATATTAAACTAATTTTGTATTTTTTTTGTCGTCAACATCAAACAAGAAATCATGTCTAAAAAAAAAATAGGTAGTAATAGAGTAATTATAGTCGACATATTGGGCCTTATTAGTGAACTTAATGTTAGTTATTAGTTCTCGAATCTTGTTTCGTATAAGTTTTCCCATGGTTTTTCCGTTTCGTTGGAAGCAACGTTTAATATCAGTTTAATGTATTCACGTCTCCAACAAATTCTTCTTCTATCCGATGTTTAATAGATTCGTCCCTAATTTGGTATATCCCGAGGCCGAACAAACTCTAACGTTCTTAATTAGGGACAATTGCGTTGAAAGGTTTAAATGTGCATCTCTCCGTCCAACTGGACCGATGCATGCGAAAGAGACAGCCTTCGCCCGAGCCGCTTATTATCTAAATTCCAACCGTATACACTTCATTTTTATTTTATTCGTTTTGTCGTCCTCGTTGTTTAGCTACTATATCTTCGTTTCGACCTCTTCGGTTTTCTTGAACGAAATATGTTCGTGATTCTCTTCTATTCATAGCGTTTTCCTTATTGGAACAAAGAGGATTTATTTAATGAAAATGTACATGTTTACGTGTACGTTTGTTCATTTGCAGCTTCATTTGATGCTAACGAACGGTAGTTTTCTGGCTGATGGTTAATGAGGAAATTATTCCGTGCGCTAATTAACGAATTTGAATATTCGGTATAGAATGTCGCCGACTGCGAGCGTGTGCATTCGACTAGACGAAACTGTGCTAATTTTATTGTTTTTTCCCTCCGTTCGTTTCCAAAGTCGAAGAGGAAAACATGTTTACATTCGTGCTCTTCTAAAAATACTGCCATTTTGTTGTGCATTTTCGTCTTCGTTTTGGTAAGCAGAATAACAAACATAATCGAGATCATCGAAACATTTCAGTACAAAATATATATTCGTAACTGCAAATTCGCATTGCAATATTATTAATTCATGCTAATTTTAGTTTGTTTCGTTTCCATTGAACATGAAATAATCAAGAAATTTTAGTACATTTTACAAATTTACAATGTTAAAAATTATAAATTTTACTTTAAATTCTTATAAAAATGTTACAATTATCAGAAAATACGCATAATTTCGTACAGTACCAAAAAAAAGGAATTTGTACGCTCTTAAGAAAGTACAGCCATTTTGTTGTGTTTTTTGATGTATCTGAAATAAACGAGACGAAGAAATTTCCTTTTTCTTAACATTCAAATCGCAAAGTATTGTAGTTATATTTTTATTTTATCTGTGTTTTCTCTAATTTTTCAATTTTATATTCAAAATTGAGGTTTTGTGATGCATTTGGTGCGATCATAGAGAAATGTATTAACAAATTGGTGCAAATCTCGACAAGTGTTTTTGAACATAACCGTGAACTTCTTCATGACTCTCATCAATATTTACGACACGACCCAAGATCGAGACACGCGTTATTTGATATGGACAGCATTGCTGTGAACAATGATGTAGCAAAACAAAAAAATACGTATATAAACTTGCTTTCACGAATTTGTGAAATATATGTACCACAGGTGGCTCATTTGCACTAATAATTAGTTTATTTTTCAATTAAGATAAAGTAAAGTGTTTTGTTGGATTCTTATGAAGTATTTAGTTTGATGTTGTGCGAGGAACGAAAACTGGATGTGGTCAAGTTCGTTGCGTTGTGAAATGTGGAAAAAAAGTAAATGTATTGATAACTGGTATTGCAGTTTAAAAGTCCGCGAATTCTTCAATAAACATGTCTCCCCTCTTATTCGGTCGGTAAGAGCTGCTGAAAATTGAGATTTTTACCATGAATTCCTCTGTTGGAAACCGTGCCTTATGCACGTGGGTCCGCATTATTTTTGTGCAAGTACTTGAATGCATGCATGCAGGCAGCATGCGTGTCCTCTGGTCCATCCAGTCAGTGGGTTCGCAGAGCGTGAAAAGAAACTAAAGCGAAACGTGTAATAAATGCACAAAGAGATCTGCACGCCATGAGAGGAAGGAATGAAAGAGTGTGAGAGAGAGAGATGATGAAGAGGAGAAAGGAGGGAAAGAGAAAAATAGGAGTCCACGAAAAACTGGTTTTGTGCATACGGTTGCAGTTATTCGATTACGCCAGAGTGCAATGCCGCCTATGCTGAATGCATCTCGAGAAAGAAGGAAAGAGAAAGAGGTGTAAGGAAAAGAAAAAAAAAATGGCAGAGTGAAAGAGCGGAGAAAGAAGAGTAACGAGGAGGAGATGAAGAAGAAAGTCCTTCGAAACGAGCGAACCAAAAAAATAAATAAAGAGAGGAACGTCCATCCTTTTCCTTTGTCATCAAATTGGGTCATGGGAGATCGGGTTCTCTCTGTGTTCTTTGTTGGACCAACAGTAGTAGCAGTAGAGTAGGGCGAACATTTTTATCTAGGAGGACTAGGGACCGACCCTTTTTCACACTATAACCACACCCATCGTGGGAAACCCATGTGCTCTTTGTGTGTGTGCGTGTTTATGTAAGTGCACGTTCGAATTTTTATTTTCCGAAAAAACCCCAATGGTTTGCTTCTTCTGCCTCTTCGTCAGAGCTCGAGCTTTCCATTTTGCTAGTAGTTTCCGTGCGACAGCCGAGCCGGCATATCAAAAGCGCAGCCATCCATCCATCCAACGGGTCTCGACCATCATCATCATCCTGTACGTGCAGTGCAGCAGTTTCGATACAGTTTCATTAAACCTAGGTCAGTATATATAATAAATACGTACGCATATTTCGATAAACCAACTGATTACGTTCGCCGAACCATTCCCATTTTAACAATACGAAGCACTCTTCTCTTCAAACGGTACAGTACCACTTATCTAATCTTATCAAAACGTTGCAAACATCCATTAATGGACAACATTTTATATATATATTTCAAGCAATTCATTATTCATGCACCATAAACATATAAGAAATATAATACACAGTAAACTGAATCTTTTGCTTCAAATTATTAACAATATAATAATTACATAATTACCATTCTTAAAGCAACATTAGAACAACTATGTAATTTCCTATTAATATTTCATAAAATTATCCAACAAGAATAGTCAAAAACCATTATTATCTATAATAAATAGTAATCAAAATACAATATCTATTTTACACTAATTGCATATACTCTATATGGTTTTATCCTATAGACACTAAACTTTCCAAAGTGCAATTTTAAAATTTATTAAATTTACATTTTTTTTAATTAATCTTTATGTTACTTTATTTTGATATTGAGTATATTTCAAAGTTAAACCAATTGTTAAATTTAACAGAAGCATTATTCTCAATATGTACAGGAATTGCAATACCTTTAATAATAAGATCGTGCAATTATCACATTTATTTATTCGATAAATAAATTTAGGGTAATTCAAGGTAATGTTGAAAATGTTTTAGTAGAAAATAGAATGTTAAATTTAACAGAAGCAGGTGAATAACCAAATTTGAATTGAATTTGTTTGGCGTTATTTTTGGAAGGTAGTTCGGGTGTTATTATACTCTGAGCGCATTCGTTTCGCTGTTGCGTTGCGTTTCTTTTATTCCGATATTGCTGCTGAAAGAAGGAAGGAAGGGGAGTTTGTTGACCCGTTTTTTTGGGTGTGAAATAAAATTAAATGTTAAGTGTGAAAATCGCTTAATATAAATCTGCAAGTATAGTATAAGAAGGTATGTGTGGGGGGTTACAGAGGGAGTCAATGGCATGATGACTCTTCTATCTCTTTCTTTCTCTAACTGCTTTCATCTCTCTCTCTCTCTCTCTCTTTCAATTTCGTCGTTCTCTCCTCTTCCAGTCATCAGCAGCAGCATCTATCTATCCTCATTCCTTCTGCTATGCACGCGTTGCAACTCGCTCCTTCTGCACCACGACTCGAAGCCATTCCAAAATTACCTCATCAAGTTGCGGTCGCACGATCGTCGGTTGCCATGGCAACCGGGATTGTTTAAAACCGTTTTACCGTTTTCGAAAAAGGAGGAACGCGCGACGTCGCCGCGGGTTTTCTTCTCCCTTTTTGGTGTCGAACTCTCTTCTCTCTCTCTCTCCGTAGAGCCTGGAAAAATCGCTCACGACTTCTGAATCTATTACACCACCACCATCTCTTCGTTTGTCCTTCCCGCTTTGTGGTCTGACCAGATTCTTCGGTAATAACTCCTTCGCATTGCAGATTCCAATACATGAAACGACGAACTTTTTTTTTAACATTAGTACATCACGAAATGAATTGCATGTAACAAATTGAATGTCTCAGAAAAAAAGGTTTTCTAAACCCAAATATAGTTTAGATTGATTCAAAATTCAAATTTTAGATAGTTGTTTTTCATATACAATAAAATAATGATCTATACAAACAAAATTAGACAATTTAATTATGAAATTTAGATTTTTTTTTATAGATTTCGCATGAGTATAGTAAATGAGAAGTATTTAATATTTTTAATTCTTTGTTGAATAAGTTTGCAAAAATTAAGACAAAACATTGTTACATTATAGATTTTATTACTAATTCGATTATTACAAATTAAGTTACACAAAGTTGTTGTAAAATGCACATAAAACAATAATTACATTATGTTATTAATGAAAATGAGTTCAATTTTTAGTGATGTTGAATATATAATTCTTAAGAAGGATTTTGGATTAATGTTTTATGACTATCAATGATTTGAATTATTATGAGACTATCCATCTATTGATCCATTTGCTTTCCATAAATGTTAGATGTTGAGAAGGGTTCAAATATTTGGGCTAATGTTTCTAGTGGCTTTGTTCAATATTGGATAAGGTGAAAGGAGAGAAAAAGGCGACGTTGCATTCTCGAATCTTCTTTTCGAGTGCAACGCTCCGACTCCTCTGACGTGTCTCGTATACATACACACACACATACGTGTATATACACGATATTCAGACTGCTATAAATAACCACTGCACAGCAACAAAGTCCTCCTTTCTTCCTCCTCTAACGTTCGCCTCGCTCCGACTTCCCGACCAATGATCTTGCTCTTCCTTTGCCTAGGCATAACCTAGAGAGACATAAGTCTCCACCTAAAGCCTGCGGCTAGACCAATCAGGGAAGATCAATTGAGCGTCATAGAGATATTAGAAGAATTTTGGGGGGTCCTTCGATGGCAAACCAATCCGGTGTAAAAAGAAAAAAAGGAAAAGGGGAAAGACAAACGAAGCGAAGAAAAACAAAAATGGTGCCTAACGATGATGGGTCTCTGATGCGTTGGCCGTTTGTTAGTAGCTGTTGCTGCTGCTGCCTCCACCGCTTTGGTTGTAGATGTGGAGGTTCTTCGGGGCCCCGCCGATCGGGCCACGTAACCTTGACAATAAGCATGCACATCCTGCAGCAGCAGCAGGAGCAGCATGGTGATGGAACGTTGCTATGCGACGGCCAGTGGCGTGTGTGGGGTGTGGAGGTGTGACCCCCGGTGGCTCCACCCTCTTCTCGCGTTCCGCGGCTCGCGACTCTCGCTCCGGGTGGGTACTGCACTTCACGCAGTCTTGATGCAACCTTTCTGCTATCCGAGTGTATCCAGAAAATTGTCTTTAACTCCCAATGTAGACTCTAACAACACAACACACTCCAAGTTAACAGTGGTGAACACATACATAAGTGGATATTATTTCTACATCGTTCAAAACATACACACACGACGAAAGTGCTCTTCATCTTCGTGATTCTGAAACGCCATAGTGCTTCGTTGAGTTGAGTTCTCCGCAAAATTTCCTCCTACAACCTCCGAGTGTGGATACATATTATTTTTAACATCCAAACACACATTTCCAACAAGCAAGGTACGTCTTTCAACATCTCTTAATAACAAATTATTAACATACAAAATAAATCAATCTCACCTAAATTTAGTCTTCAATTAAAAATGGACGAAAATTTCGATCGACGAAGACTCACAGCGTTCTCCATTAATAAGCCTAATGAAATTCCCTACACATCATTTCGACAAAAAAAAAGAAACAAAATCAATACACATCTTTCAAAGCTCATGGAAAACCGAAATTTAATTAATTTCACCACTTTTCGCATCAACTTATATCGTAATATTCTTCGAGGCTTCTCCTGCCGTCTTCGATGCAATTCAATTAAAGTCATACGTTTTATTTGGTTTGTTTTGAAGATGAAGCCGGAATCAATACTCCTCGGCCCGATCCACCTATTCTCTTGAACAAACCCTCTCCCAGACATCTTTACTAAAAGTCATCTCAGGAATTGGAGACTTGTTCAGACGCGTTCCAATCCAGCTCGACATTTCTATTATCAGAACCATTGGCGATAGATAAAGCATTCTCAGTTTATAACGTTTAATTTTTATATACATTAAATCGTTGTCTTAGAGAGGATTTCCTCATGCAAACCAGAAATTCGCATCTCGAAACGCGGCCATTTAAATGCAGATACAAGTTCTGTCTGCCTTTGTCCAAAAATATTCAATTTATATACTTGTTACGACAAGATACAAGACCATATAGCAGTCATAATTTCGGAATTGGTTACAACTGAAAATAATCGTTCTGGAATAGCAGATTGTGATTGAAGGATCAAAACTTTTTTTACATTTAGCGACTGAAAAGTGGAGTTTAAATTGTTTAACTTCTTCGCAACAAAACTTTCTAAAGTGTAGAAAACGATATACCAATATTGATTTTTTTCTTGGGACGAGGCGGAGGCAATTAAGGACTTAATAACTGGACGATTGGAAAACCAATTGAATTTCTATTTGATTGCGAACGCACTTTTACGGGTAATTCGTGCATGAATAATGCAGCAGTTTTAGGAAAAAAAAAATTACTTCTCCGAGAAAAATAATTTGAATATTCTAGCGATTCTTCGATACACTCTCAAGAAAGTATGTTCTAATTAATGGCCGCACCTTTCACATCGCAATTGAATCAGCTATAAACTCACATTTTCTTCTTTTCGGTTTTACGAAAACCTTTTTTAAAAATAAAATTGTCTATGATAAATATCATCAATTCTTGTTAAAACAAAAAGTTATAAAATTCGTTCTTCCATTGCAATAATGTTATACGTTCGTGACCCGTACGACGTAATCTAATAACTTTCCTTACGAAACGACCGATAAATTTAACGCAAAACACATGTAGGACACGTTATAAACATATAATATCGCACTGGCCGTATGCAATTTTATCCATGCTTTATGTACGGCCGAACGGCAATAAAACATAATGAAACGTCGGAATTGTTTCCACCATTTTGGACGGCGGAAAATCGCGTTCTCCCCGATGATTTCGTACGCGCAGCAGGATATTTCATTTCGTCTCCTATCATTATTATTAATACAATATATATTCCCCTTATATATATATATATTCCCCCGCAGATTTTATTATTGAGTCTGCGAATTTCAAAGAAGTAATTTCACCATTTTTTTTTATATCCAATTTGATATTTCAATCATATTTTTGCCGCTGAATGAATTTCATTACAAATGTTAAATTTAATATTCGTTTGTAAAGTATATTGAGAATAGTTCATCTTTTATTATAAATACTTCAAATTTTACAGTTGCCTCAAGAAAATTCATTAAAAAATTCGCATATTCGCTTGTTTACTAGATATTAGAAATACTTCAATTCGACTATTATGAATGATACTAATTTGTTAGTAAAGAATGAATTCAATAAAAGTCATTTAAAAGTTAATATTCGTTTCTTAATGAACATTTTTCATCTCTTCTTAAAAATGCTTCAATATTAACATTAAGTATTAAGAATATTTGACAACAACTTCAAAGAATTCCATGTTCAAGTTAAAGTTTACTACTTGCTGCAAGTTAAATATTGATACTAGATATTAGAAATACTTCAATTCGACTATTATGAATGATACTAATTTATTAGTACAGAATGAATTCAATAAAAGTCATTTAAAAGTTAATATTCGTTTCTTAATGAACATTTTTCATCTCTTCTTAAAAATGCTTCAATATTAACATTAAGTATTACGAATATTTGACAACAACTTCAAAGAATTCCATGTTCAAGTTAAAGTTTACTACTTGCTGCAAGTTAAATATTGATTTGTATAATATTAAATCATAAGTTTCATTGAAATGACTTCATTTAAACAAATATTAAAGTAAATCTTACATTAACCAATAATTATTATAAATATTTGATTATAATTCTGTATTTAAGTTAAAGTTTGCTTATTCACAACTTGGAAAAAGTTTAACAGTTTTGGAAACATATTTGGTTCATATTCTCTTGGTTATTACGTATTTTAATGAATAATTTGTATTTAATTAAGAACATTTTTAGTCTAACTTTTGTGATGTTAACTTTATAGTTATATCAATTATGTTTTATAAGAAATGAAAAGTTTCTTTATATTCAAGACAAGTACCATTATTTAGTTAAGATTGAGTAAAATTCTCAATGTTTCAAGTCTAGATTGATGATTGAAATAGTTGTAATGTGTGCATGTGATGGAAATTAAGAAATGGATTGGTCAGATTCGAGGGGAATTATGTTTATTTAGCAAATCGTGTATGCGAAGCAATTCTTGTTATCGTGGACAGAGAGAGCGATAAGCAAGCGTATACACACGACGCCTACCCGAAAGGGTAATCAAACCGGAAACCCGCCAGACTTGTTTTATTTTTGTCCAAATACAAAACTGCATATACACACATCACGAACTCACTGTTTATTGGTAAATAAGCTCAACTAATTAATTAAATTTGTATATGGAAGAGAGGCCCGTGGAGGAGAGGCTTCTGGCTTCTGCTTTTCGGATCGGAATATCCGATTACAGGTTTTCCACATTGTCCGCAAGTTGATTAAACACAACTCAATTTCGATCAAATTTCATCATCAGACGAAACAGAACCATCAAAAAAACTCACTGCAGAATACGCACACACACACACACAAAAATTAACATGAAGAGATCTCCAATTTCACAACACGGAATAGCATTGATCTTTTACCTATCTTTGTTGTTGCTACACACCAAATATTTACATGCAATTAGATACATCGCATTGCTAAGGTTACAGTCAATTGAGATGTTTTCGCAAATAATAAACATATTTTGTTTATTTATTACTCACTTTAATTATTACTCACATTTCAATGATTATTGATAGAACAATTTCAAATATAAATATAATAATAATAACAACAGTTTCATCAAATTACAAAGCTTCAGTTACTTTATTGAATTAACAGATTCGTTGTTATGAAACTCAAACAATATAGAAGCTAGGTTTTGGGTGAATCTCTGGTATTATCGTCGCATTCTAAGAACTATATAGAATGAAACACGTGTCGCGGAGAGGACGAGGCAATAGATTCAATAAGAAACGTAACGGTTCTCTCCTTTCTTCGCGCAAAAGAATTGTTGAATAATTCGCGTTTCCGGTTGTTGGAAGAAGAAGAAAAATGGAAATGCACGTTTCTAATTGCGGCGCATTGTTTAGAATAATGCTTCTTGTATTATTGCGAAACTGTGCGTGGGTCCATGCGTATATGCAAATTGCATTTGGAAACGCGTAATTGGCTTTGCAATTATCAGCAAAGTGCACATTTTATTTACTCAATAATTTAACAATATCCATTTAAAAAAACAAAACAAAATTATTGTTGAAAGAAAGAAACTTGTTGTTAAACGTTTTTAATCACTTTAATGATACAAATCTGTACAATCCTTTACTGGTATTAGCTAATATCGATTCGTGAATAAATTAAAGCTATTTTTTTTTTCATTGAATATTTTAATTCCATGTAATTATGTTTCATTCAATCCGCGCAGATATTACTAGCAGCATTATAGTAATTACACACACACATATATTTTAATGAAAAGCGATGCTGCAATTACATTGATTACCGCAGGAAAAACGTATTTTATGTTTTCCGGTTTTATTGATTTCAGCAAATAATTACAGATTTTTCTGAAGAACTTTTAGGAATATTATCATTTCTAACAATTAATTTATAAGTATTAATTTTGAAAAAAGAGTAGTTTTTTTTGTATGTTAACTTTATTGAATTGGAATAAAATCTTCAAAAAGAAAGTAAGATAATTTTCAAATTTTCTAAAGCATTGGAATTGTGTAAAAATAAATTAAATTTTCTTTTTTTTTTTGTTTCAGAAGAAAGATGCGTGTGTACCAGGACGACATAAAGGATGAGAAGAAGGTAAAGCCTGTTACTACTTATTTATTTGGACTAAGATTTTTTTTTGTTTGGTTTATAAATCTGAGGAGGATCGTGAAACGGTTTTAAAACGCGAAGCAACGACGACAACGTTGTTTTTATCCTTCTTCCTGTTCGTTACAACCGAATGCTATCCCCCTTTTTATTTGTAATTGCATACGCACGCTCCGTCGTGAACTTAATACTAGCAGAAGAGGATTCGTCAACTTTTCACGTGCAAATTCCTGTTTCAACGGAAGCACAATCTTATCTTACCGCCACACAGTTTGACCATTCAACAACTGTCAAATGTCAAAATAGCAGTTATTCAATGTTACTATCTTATGTAATGCTTATGTCATTGAAAATGAACAACTTGATTCAGTATAACTGTCAAAAAATAATTTAGAATTTATCAACTGTCAATAACTTTTTGCTTAATATAAACAAGAACATCTACAAAATAATGTTGAATTACTAAATATATTACAAAAAAAAACTTATGATTGAGACTGTTTGCTAATGATTCAACTGTTTCTTTTGCAGTTCATTCCTTTAAAGAAACGGCATCTGTTTGGAAAATTTAAGCACGTACGTTTGCATCCAAAAAATGACCTTTGCAAATAGCGATGACAAATAATTATTAGTAATCGGTATGAATCGATTATGCCGCTGTGGAAAAATCCAAATCAATTGTTTTCAAATTAAAACGATTATAAAAAAAAGAAAACAATAGAAGATAAGAACGTGCTTTCAAACAAGGAAATTCCGAGATAATATAACTATTTTTGCCAGATCTAGGTTAACTATAGCACTTAATTTTTTTTTGTTTGTAATATAAATTTAAATTAAAGTAATTATTTTTGAAGATAGGTTAAAAAGTATTTGAGTTCAAGTGATAAATTGTTAAAAAGTATAAGACAGTTGAGAATCTTAGCAACAGTTGATCTAAGAACTCGTTCTCGGTTGCCTGGAGACAAGCATCCTTCTCGTGTGGGTCCAAATTCAATATTTCAAGTCTTATTAAGTTTGAAAATTGGTATAGATTCAGTTAAATCTCTTTAAATACCAGATTTCTACTAAATTCGGGAATCTTTAGAAATATGAAAATACAATTAAATTGTCAAAATAATTGTAGTTTATAATGTAAATACTCGTTTGTTGAGAATGGTTATTTTTAGCGTTCGGTTATAATTGAATGTAATGCACTTAGACTGGTCACGATGACAAAGTTGGCTAAATTTATGCGCCGATTTCAATCGCTTTAGACACGGCGAAGAGCATTTGAAGTTTAATGAAACGCTCAGCCATAATGTGTAGCATGCAGTATTTTTAGACACATATCTCTGAAAGTCTGCTGTTGCTTCTGCCAATGCATTCAAATCGTTTGACTGTTTTTTGCAGCAATTGAGAGGAAGCTTATTGTGAATTTGGAAAATGTAATATTTGTGAAAAAATATATGGGTTTGGGTTTCATTGAAGTGTGTAAAAACTCTTCGCCTTTATTGCTTTGCTATATGAATGCGGTGGGTGTATCTGCTTGTGTACTGGTCGTCACTAACCTAAGTTAACTAGTGAACGCTAGACACTTTCTATTTATATACAGAGTCGCGCGCGACTTTAATATGTATTTATATAAACGGGTTTCGCGGGTAGCAACACATAGCACTAGCGTGCTTACCGCTATCTCTCTCTCTGCGTCTATATTCCAACATACGTATACTCTGCGAGCGCGTCACCAGTGTGATTGGCCTCGACTTTACTTTTCGGGGGGTTTACGCACGTTACGGTTACCAGCTTCATCATCTCATACAACATACATCATCATCATCTCTAACATTGAGTAACAATTCGCTTTGGAATTTTGATGATAATTTGTCGATCTTATAGAGCAAATGTGTTGCTGCTTATCTAATAAATTTTGTTTTTTAGAGTCCATTTATTGTGACCCAGTAATGAAATTAAGTCTCCGACCTAGTCAACGTGCGCGCCCGGCGAGACGAAATGTGCCGCCCGCCACGCGATCGTTGTTTGCGCAAACCGAGCCGCGCATCCCACCGGAAGTTCAAATACATCGACTTTCCTCCGCGCTTCCTCTCTCCAGCCATCTCTTCCTCCTCCCTCGACAAGAGCCTAAATTTATGTTTATGCAACGCCAAAACGGACTTTTGCGTCCATCCGCTTAAACGCCTGAAAGCCTGCAAAAGGTCGTAGCACTTTTCAATCGATTCCATTCGGTGTGGTCAACAGTATTATTTCAGCACAAACAAAGTATATGTGTTCGTCTGCACGTATATAAAAAGCACACACAGAGAAAGAAGTGCATGTATTATTGTTCAATTATCAAGTACCTCCGAAGGTCGGCGCTTCGCTGAAAACATTTGCAGACGAGATCTCTCCGAAGGTCGCAGCAATTAATCGTTTCAGCTAATCAAACGATATTTAAGCTCTCTTTCATTATAATTATTTGTTTTACAAAAATTATATTATTCGTATCAATTATCAAGTCTGAAGGTCGTGTAGCTCTTAATTGTTGCCATTGTTTTCATACTAGACGAACAATATTTCAGCGCTTCCCACAAATTTCATGCACACGAAACCATCATCTAAAGAAGTGCATCATCTATTGTTCAATTATCAAGTACCCGAAGGCCATCGCCTCGCTGAAACATCTGAAGTCGCTGATCTCTCCGAAGGTTACACATCCTCCATATCATTAGTTTATTATTTGTCATCTAATCAACAATATATTCAGCTAACATGTACATAGTAACGTTATCACTATGGTTACAAAAAAGCATTTTGACGTTTACAATTATCAGAGAAAGTATACATTCATTATAATTAGATTTAATGTAACTTTTCATAAATAATTTGAAGGAATAGAATTGGATTATTTCTTTGTAGTCTTAATGAGTATTGATTTGATGGATAAACGGAAGGTTAAGTTAATTAAGCTCCATATCGATCAATCGTCGCGTATATGATTTTATATTTTTTGCGATATCGGAGTTTTAAGTGTTTCAGCTCTGATGAAGTGGTTTCTTATCATTAGATAATTCGCACAGTCTCTATCTATGTCCTCTGTAACTGTATTAAGTTTAAATTGTATCATTATTTCCATTATTATTTTCTGCATGAATCAACTACGATTTATAAATTTTAATATTATTTATTTGACAAAAGTTTGAAGTTTGAAATTATTCAAAATAAATAGTCCTTTATATTTTTCTAAGAAATATGTAATATCAGTTGTCTGTAAGCACATCTGACTAGTTAGGATAGCATTAAAATCTAAATCAATGATGTAAATATAAGTTGAATGAAGTTGGTATGTTTTCCAAATTGTATTTCAGATGAGATCGGTATTAAAATTTTGAACTGTCGATGAGTCTGAAAATATTATTGAATAATCCCAAGTTCATGGAACTATTACGTTGAATTGGATGATGTAACAAAGTTGTTAGGTAGTTATCTTCGTTTTGGATTATATTTCTTTGGTGAATTTTGTGTGTGCAAAGAAATCCTGTGTTCTCTTCTGGGCTCTTTGGACGTGAGGAGGCCTCGTAAGGATGGGTGTGTGTGTGTATGTGCGTGCGTACGTGTGCGTGTGTGTATGTGAATTGGCAACGGCGCGTCTGGTCGCGAACGCCCTTGGAATCTGTGCGAGTTTATCAACCCTGCACTCTGCACTGGCCGTGCGCTCGTTTACTTCGCGTTCAGGGGCTCCCCTCGCCACCCCTCTGGAAAGATCCGAGACACGGTCTGCCCCCGCACCACCCCTCTGGAGAGAAGAGGTGCGTGAGTGAGTGTGTGTGTGTATGTATGCATGCGTTCACCGAAGCTCTTTCCAGGGTCGGCGGCTTCCGTCGCCGCCACCGTTTTGGATCAGAGGCGGCGGCGATGGGTCCCTACACCGTTGCGTAAACCCCGTCCCGAGAGCTTCAACGGCAGCAACATTAATTCGGTCAATCAACCCGAGAGACTGCTCTCTCTCGTTCCCTGCTGCTCCTGCTCCTTCTTTTCGCCTTCTTCTCCGCCTCCTTCTTCACCTCCTCCTCATCGCAACGACTCAGCCCATCCCATCTTTTTCATCAATCAATCACCTTTTGCACACCACGAAAAGATGGAAAAGTGCTATCATGGGCGGCGGCGAAGTCGTCGGATAATTCTCCGAGCCGGAGATTATCTCCACTAATCCTCGATTTGCTCATCTCTCCTCTCCAACTCACTGTAAACACACACATACCAGATCAGTCCACAATTAAACTTACGATACATCCATCCCGAAGGTACATAGCCCTTTTGTTAAGAACACTACTTTAGATATTAAGTTTACTTTTATGTATTATTAAAACTTCCTTTCAAACAGTAAATTTTCAATTTTTACGAAAATGTTGAAACTTACCTCTTTGGGTCCCTTATAAAGAAAATTTCACATATATGTATAAAACGTTTTTTTAATACAAAATAACTTGATCTCTTTACTAATAGATGGATTAATTGTTGTATGTTATTTCCAAAGTCAGGATAATTTTCTTTCAGGTTTAATAGATTCGAAATTGAAATAATCCATTTCCTGAAAACGTTTTTCAATGTATGATTGAAAATTCCTTTCAAACAGTAAATTTACCATTTTTACGAATACAAAATAACTTGATCTCTTTACTAATAGATGGATTAATTGTTGTATTCTTTTAATATTTAAACCTTTATTTTAAATCATTTATTTCAAAATTGTTTCCAACGACAGGATAATTTCCTTTCACGTTTAATAGATTCGTAATTGAAATAATCCATTTCCTGAAAACGTTTTTCAATGTGTGATTGAAAATTCCGCCGCAGTGTTAAATCATTCCGCCAGACAGTACAGATTGCACCTATTTAACGATTGTTCTCTCTTTATAGCGAGAAATAGAATAAAGACGGCAGACGGTGGAATTATGTGCAAGCTCTCCTTCGACGCTTAAATCGATCGAACGTTAGAACATGTAATAATAATGATAGTAACTACCATCAGCATAAGGGTGGAAATAAGTTTGTAGTCTCCATAAACGAATCACTTCAGATCATCGTTTGAATTACGCTGTTGGATTAGATTAGTTTACGGCGCGCGTTGCGTCAGGTCAACGCCAAAGCCAAAATCTTTGACGTTCGCTATTAAATCACGTTAATTTACGTTGGGTCCAGTCCTCATCTTCCTCCTCCGCAAACACTATTGGAAATCGCATATTGTTACATATTCAAATTTAAAATATATTAGTTCAATTTTGACATTATCTAGTACAATTGTTTGTAAGCTATTTGACCAGATACGTAATATGAATATGTTTATGGGTAGTCGATTATTGATGTATTAAGAGTATTGAGGTCGTACGTAATGAGTATTAAGGATTGTGCTGTATGTAAATGGTAAAAGAGAGTTGGTGAGGAATTTGGGTTACGCACAATTAAGAGGGCCGCCGTCAGGGTCGTGCACGAGAGAAATTTCAATACGCGAAGAAAAGGATCTGGTCTGGTCGGACAGGTAAATATTACGTAATGCGATTCGCGCACTCGCTCATATGGGTTGAGTTGAGAGTGTGTTCTGCTGCTGCTGATGGTCGTGTATATGGGTATATGCAGCAGGGAGGAGAGACCAGTAAGAAAGAAAACGACGATGAAGAAAGGGAGAGAAAAAAAATGCACGCGAATATTGTTGTAGTCGTCGGTGGTGAAGGAGGAGGAGGAGGAGGAGGTTGAAGAGGTGGAGGAAGAAGGAGCGAGGTGAAAGCGATTGTGTGTGAGTAGGAGCAGGCGCGAGAGCGGTTACGGTTACGACCTGGCGGGGTCGTCGCGATCCCAAGGCAACGAGACAAGCGACCGACCCCAAGAGCAAAAGCCGCGCACCGGGGTCGTTGACCTCACCCAACAACAACGTGCTGCAACGCGCCTCCTCCGAAAGCGCGATTCGATTTGCCCATCGACGACGTCCGTACGTTCGTTTCCATGCAACGACCCTTCTTTTTCTTTTTCTTCGCGCGGATGCCGCTGCCATTGTCCTGCACCTTCGGTAGAAGGCGCACTTCTCCACCTCCTCCTTCTCATCCAGAAAGACGACGACGCTTCGGGAGGAAGTCTGCAGCCGAAACCGGAAATCCTCGACCGTATCGATTTCCGAACGCAACACATCGCGCGCTCCAGACGACGGCGGCGGCGGCGGCGACGCCACCCCCGCCGCAGACGCGTCTGTTATTGCGCCGCGTTGCCAAAACTCTGGAGCGGCCGTCGCCCCCAAAATCAGCTGATCGTTACGAAACACCGCCAACTACGATGACAACAACATCAACAATAACAACAAAAAAGGACGAACGAAGAATTAGGAACAAGCGCACGCAGGACCACGTAACACCATACGTCACGACCCAACAATTAAATAATTTTGAAAATGTCACCGACGTAGCGATCAATAGACCCAGACGTCTTCGATATTACTTTAATTTATAAAAAAAACATCCCTTCAAATATAATTAATGATATTCGCTTATCCTCGAACGAAGAAGGAAGAATGATGATGATGAATAGAAGCAGTAAAAGGAGGATAACAATCGCAACGCCGGTGCAATGAACTGCAGACATCCTTACGGTGAATCCTCCTATACACATTCCGACTTGCCAATAATATTATTTTTTTTTTGCATATTGACAATCCTCCGGGCAACTAATTGCATCAATTAACCGCTCCGCATGAATCAAGCATTAATTCTGCAGTTACTTTTATCGATGTTTCATTTAAATGCGAAGGAAGTGATTGGACTCGAGAAGAGAAGAAAAAGCACAAATTTAATAGCTTTCACCAGCAACGGACGTTTATAAGCAAACTCACCATTTCTTATATTGTCTGTCGTTAGCATTTAAATGCATTGCTCGATTCTTGTTATTAGTATTTCAATCATTCTTTTGTCTATTATATTCATTAAATCTAATTGGGGGGAAACGCCATTCCGGATGTACCATAATAACAGTTATTTCGCATCGTTTTGATCATAATCCAAGTATGCAATACCTATAATGAAAGTTTCGTGAATTCAATTTACAAACTTAAAAGTCTTTAATAAAAGAAAATAAGTATTTCAGTTTTATTATTGATTTTAATAGCATTACATATAATTGTATTGGAATTTGTACTATTTGCAAATCTTTATTGATATATGAATGTTTTTGATACATTTTTCAATTTTATATATTTTATTTATATATAATTCTAGTTTAATTTTCATTCCTTAGAAAATATAAGAAGTTTTGAACATTTAAAAATTTTCATATTTGTTATTAACACTCTTTAGAAATTTATCGTGTGCAAATATCACTAAAATATGTAAGCATTTAAACATTTTATTATCAATTAAATTCAATGAAATTAAAATTTTATTTATACCAATATTTTGATTTAATTAATAAATAATTTAATTGCCAAATGAATGTATAAATTTTATGCAATTAAAATATTTCCAGGTATATTTAAAACATATTATTTTTAATTGGACTAAATTACGTTATCGAATATGTAATAAGTTTAATAACGTATTTTGGCATTGACGCGTATTTCGTAATGGATTTTCAAACATTTCAAGGATGACCATCGCGTTGTTTTCTTTTTTTCTATATAGATATAATTTGCAACAAAGTCCTTGAAATCGACAAAGTGCGTTAATTGTATATAGTTTATTGGACTTATCGTTTTCGTTATAATAAAAAGTGTTCGTTGCATCTGCGAACCGAGTTATAACACGTCCTTTCGCGTCTGCAAATTGTTGCAAAACGCATGCGTTAATTCCCGACCTTAGTTACCGTGCAAATAGGATGCAATGGATCGAAGATGTCCGGAAGGTTAAATGAACGTACGTGCATTTCCTTTCGTGCAAATTGCTTTTGGTGGTACCATTTCGGTAATCGCGAAAAACAACTACAACTTCAATTTAGAATTGAAACAATTTGGACGAGAGATAGACGAGCGACGCGATTATATAACGTTATGTTGGCCAAGGCTGTCGGTGCGAATGGGCTGGATGGATGTAATAGGCGATATGTGTCAGATGACAGGAGACGACTCTCGACTGTTATTCGCGAAAGGTCAAGACGACGTTTCCACTTTTGTTCCACTTTTCGAGCGAAAATGAAAACAATAAATAAAATCGACATGTTTATTTATATGTTTTCGTTTATTTATGCACATGATTTATTATAAAATAATATGTATTGTGCGAACGGCGGAGAGATAGAGATGGGCATTTAATAACGCGAGGGACCTTCGGCTACCAGTTTTTGAGTTGAGGCTCGTTCGGGCAGAGACGTCGCGACGCAGACCTCCGACACTCCGGTACTTGTTGAGCGACGCCGCACGTTGCCACGTTTACGCTTTTTACGCGAATTCCCTTCAACTCATTACCTAACTAACCGACTACAGACATACAAACAGACAGTTGTTGTTGCCTCATCCAAATTGCGAATTTCAATGTGAGACTTCCTTCTATTCTCTTTTCGTTTTACGCGCTTTCTTTCTGCTACATTTCTTGTGCCACACTTGTTGTTTTTTTTAATATTAATATTGCGAATGATCAGAGCGGGCGAGGTCGAACAATCATATTATATTTTCGCCAACTTTTTCGTTTTGCGCAATTGTTTTATAACAATCGCGTTTCGTATCTTCCGTTGCGATTTTTTGTTTTTTTTTTTTTTGCGCAATTCAATTAGGCTTTGCGCCGTGTCGACGGTTTTTGCGTAACGCGTATTATTCAAAACTTTTTTGGATCTGCGGACGACGCTCGTGTAACCCAGATATTCTCTCGCTCGCTTCCATTCAGTCGATTTCAAATTTGCTTTTCTGTCGCTTGCTTGCCATTTCGTTCCTATCGATGGACGACATTGAAATTTATCGCGAAATTGGGTTACATCACCGACCGGCGGGGGGCCAAGCCCCGGGAATCGATGTTGTTCCTCATTGTTGCGACCAACAATGAGAAGCATCGCGTAATCGCTGTCTCCGCATGTTCTTTTTTTTTTTATAAACGTGTATTCATTCCATGTTCAAATCCATCCATCTCTGATCTCTTGATCTCTGTGTTTCAGGTCTTTCGCGCGCTCCCTCTGGAAGTTTTGTTTCCACTTGGCCGGTGGCCGTCTTTTAACCCGTTTGTACCCGTACATCCGAACTTGTGTGTTATTCCGTCGCAAGTTCGTGTGTGATGGTACATGCTGGTCAAAAAAGTCTTCCCGGAGTGCACCGTTCGGATCCCCGTTCTAATCTCTTCTATTTTTCTTCTTTGATTCTAGGTTTGTTCTTGTGTGTGTGTGTGTCTCTCTATCTCTCTCTTTACTTCGATCTGGTTTAGCCTGGGTGAGGTAGTAGGTTGTATAGTAAGTATTACACCTTTTGGGAGTACTGTACATCCTGCTAACTTTCCTAGTCTCGGACCAAACACGGCATCTCCAGGAGAAGATCTGCAGAGACCATCGCCTTTTTGTTATTTATCTATTTTTCATTCATTCATCTTCGGAAGATGATCTTAGATTAGACTGAATTTGTATATTCCAGGATTTTTTTTTCTGTGTGATCTTTATTTTTCAATATGTTTCAATAATTATTTTTTTTTTATTGTTCAATCAAAGAGGACATTGTTCGCCTGTTCCCTGAGACCCTAACTTGTGATGCTAAGTGAACTCTCACAAGTTAGCGACTCGGGTATTGGCGAATGTTACAATCTCCTACAAGTCTACAAGAACTTCTACCTACGCTGTGATTAGAGAATAAGTGTCTAAAACCATCGATGATCTATAATATAAATAAAGAATACCTTCACAAATTATATTTTCCTATTATCATACTTTCCCACTTTTCCCATTTTGCAAATATTGATTCAATTTCTTAATATACCCGTAAAATTTGTAATAATATTGTTAAATGATTCATTTTTATTTGCACATATTAACACATAAAATGTACTTTAATAAAAACAAATCCTATGCTTAATTTTCTTAATGTGTTTTTATATTTACTATATATTTAAATGTATTTTCAAAAAGACTAGAAGTATACTTATTGTAATTCACAATTTTTTTTGTTAATAAATGAATAATATTTTTAAATAAATGTATTTTTCAATCTTTACTCCTCGCTCCATAATTATATCAATGTATTTCGTATAGTTCATATAATTAATTCGAAAAGTAAATAGTTGACTTGAACAGACAAAGTTTTATTGTTTTGGATCATAAAAAAAACATAACGTGTATTATATATTTATTTTTTTTCGTTGTTTTAAGTACGTCTAATTTTAAATCTTTGGCACTCGTCCAAAATCAATTTTCGTTAATAAACCGGTATTTAGAGTATACAGCGAAAATAAATAGTATTATATATAACGAGATTCAAATAAAGGTCAGAAGCTGCTTATTTTTATTATTGTATGAATGTTTAAATAGTTTTTAAAGTGAATTTTAAAGCATTCTCTGTATTTTTATATACTACCTTGTATTGTTGCGTTATGCAACCGGAAATACGTCTGCTTTCTTCTACTGGCAACCCTGATTGATCGGAAGCTTACCAGCGTGCGTTTAATCATTATACCGACTGTTGATTGAAGTTAAAGCACCAGTTAAAAAATCTGAAATACTCGATGGACTTGATTTAACGTGATGTCGACGAAAGCTTTGGATTTAGAATTGTTTCTGAATTACCCGGGAATCATCCCATTGTCCAAAAGCAATGACGAATTTGGAGGTTACCTCTTCGTTAAAGTATGTTTGATTGTTTTGTATTGTATGTTCATTTAGATTTGATGTTGTTTTAGGATGCTGGTTTTCCTATTAGCTTGAAGAAGGATAAGGATAGGAGACGATACGATGTGCAATTAGGACGAGTCAGGTCGGAAGTGCTTGCAGGCGTTGATTTTGGCGAACATCCGGCACTGATTTTGCGCAAATTATCGGAGTTCATTGGAAAAAGTGCCGATGGCGATCGCGGTAGTCAGGAGAATAACGACACCGATTTCTACCGCTTCGTTATGCGGGAGTATGTGGAGTTCAAGAAGTTCTACTTCAACATAGGCTCGAAGTTGTCTCACGATATGCGCTGCATTGAAATACTGCATGTGGATGAAAGTCGCAGACAGCATAAATTACAGATCGAAGTGAAATCCGATTGCAAGGCGGCGTTCAATGCGAAGATTTACGATCTACCGGAATGCGAACTGCAAGACGATAACTCCTTGCTTAGTCTGTATGGTAAATTCTGCGAGGTCGTCGCATTGTATCAGCCCTTCTTCGATCTGCTCGACGAGATCGACGATACCTGCTGGATCTTGGATCCGGAGACTCCGAAGAGGAAGGACGCGTACCGCAGGATTGCCATAAGTATTGTACTTGATCGATAATTTGACGAGATTATAGAACTTCTGTTGCAGCCGGAAATCTGTCTGTCGTGATTCAATTCAACGCCAAAAACTTTGTAGAGTTACCAATTTTGAAATTCCTGGGACCCAAGCACGAATGCGAAGAGTACTCGAAGAAGTTAACAGCGAATTTCTCTAAATGGGAACCGGAAGATCAAATTCTCCAAGAAATTTTAAAACTTTTAGGTTTTTTACCATCTTAAATTGAAGCGACTGCTAAGTAATTCTTATCTTTCAGAACTTGAAGCGTTTCCGAAGAAACCCGTTAAAGCTTCATTAGAAGAATTGGTATTGGTCAATTCTGGCGAATGTTGCATTTGCTTCACGATGCGATTGGACGATAAATTACCGGAAATCGTTTGTCCGAATCCTTGTTGCAGTCAACTTTTCCACGAACAATGCTTATATCAGGTATCATATAAAACCTTTCAGAATCAACCTGAAAATAATCTTTATTCGGTGTGTTGTGTTATTGTTTGTTTTATTTTCAGTGGCTCTTTTGCTTGAACTCACGGAAATTCTATTTTGAAATCATTGGAGATTGTCCAAACTGCGAAAAGGTAAACGAAACGAGCTCAAACTGTCGATTAATAACTGATGACAACCAACGTGTTTCAGCTGATCCGATGTCCGCTGCCGAAGAACTGAACTAATTTATTAAAAAATAAACATATTTTCTTTATTTAAACCAAAATTCTTAAACTTATTTTCTATACAACTATTGAAACTTTCGCTTCCACAAATCACCACCCGCAAATCTGTACATTTATCTAAATACAATTTAATTTGATTATCATCCAATTTACCGTTGACCGTTTCATTGTATTTGGCGGAACCATCAGTGTCTTCGCTCAAAAACAGTTCGTAACTGAAATTCCAAAATCTGCACAAAGAGTAAAGTTGATCTCTCAGAAAGACTTCGTTGAAGTTCCGGCAACAGTAAAATAACTTCAAGAAAGTCTCGCATTCTTCGTTTTCGACCATTTCGTTGATCACAGAGTATATTGGTGCTATCCCGGTTCCTTGAGCTATAAACAAGACGTTCCTGTATTGATAATTTATTTGAAAATCACCATAAGGTCCTCTCCATAGCGTTTCTGATCCTAGTTTTAGGTGCTTAAGCACTTTCGCCATTCTTCCATCTTCGTATAATTTAATCAGTACAGCAAACGCGTTGCTTTTTAGCGAATTCCAAGGGATTGGGGTGTAAGCTCTAGAGAAGTCCTCGTCATTCAAACATCCTTTCAAGAGAAAATGCTGGCCTGGTTTATAAAAAACCCGCGATTCATTTTGAAAATCCTGGCATTCGAATATGTAGATGTTGGTAGTTCTGGTTAAAACAATGACTTCGGTTAATTTAAATCTGGTGTATTTCAGCGGCTTAATGCAATTTGGTACTCCTTTTTTGGTTTCCCCTTTTATGGACTTCTGATATTTCTTCAGCTGCTCTTCGTAGACGTCAAAAATGCATGGATTGCAACCAGAATTACAACACTCCTCATCATCGGGCTTCTCTGGTGGCTCCATTGTTTTGGTTATGTAACTTCTGTGAAGTTGGCTCTGTTAAATAGGAATTTATTAACAGTTTCTTAGAACTTTCTAATATTTATTATGATTCTGTATTCTATTAATAAAAAAACATAGTTAGATCAGTTACGTAAAACTGCAGATACATACAGATAAAATTAATTGAAATTAAGTATAAAATACAGCATGCAATATTATTATTTAATAATTAAGTAAAGAATTAAATTTATTTTTGAATTTTGGTTATTTTTCAATTCATGACGTTGGTATAGAAAATTAAGTTGGCATCACTGCATGATGCCGAGTCTTGCTTGGTAAGCCCATCAGTTTTTCTTTCATGTCAAGTAGTGATCATGGCGGTCGGTAAAAATAAGGGACTGTCGAAAGGTGGCAAGAAAGGAGTCAAGAAGAAGATGTAAGTACAAAATGATTCTAAAATTCGTTAGATCTAAACCTGCTTCAAAGGATTTTGTATAGTTTTTGTTGAAAATGCGAAAGATGATTGAGATATTTGTTGATGAAAATTGTACTTCCGTGCATACGTTCTTGCTATGTAAATATTGCATTCCTCTCACTCATGACTGAACTTTGAGTAAGTTTTAATTATTGGTAATTGTATTGAAACTATTTAATAATGTTACAGCTCTCTAAATAAGCAATATTGTGAGAAATAAAGTTATTAAAAATATTTACGGTTATTCACAACATGGCAACAAAGTTGTTTTGTTTTAGGTTATGTATTTTATACTCATGTTCACTATAAAACTATACAATTTGCTTTATTGAAGCAATTTAAATGATGACAAACTCAGCTCTCTTTGACACATATATGATGAAACTTTGTGTTCCCTAATATATAAATTTCTGTCTGAAAATTTCTTAATAACTTTACAAAGTTATAATTAGGACACTCTTTGATACTGATATTAATTAGAACTTTTTTCTGCTCCTTTTTAGTGTTGATCCTTTCACCAGGAAAGATTGGTATGATGTAAAGGCACCATGCATGTTCTCCAACAGGCAAGTTGGAAAGACCTTGGTCAACCGTACCCAAGGTACCAAGATCGCCTCCGAGGGTCTTAAACACAGAGTGTTTGAGGTTTCTTTGGCTGATTTGCAAAGCGACACCGACGCTGAACGTTCCTTCAGGAAGTTCAAGCTGATTGCTGAAGATGTGCAAGGAAAGCATGTTTTGACCAACTTCCATGGTATGGATTTGACCACTGACAAGCTTAGGTCCATGGTTAAGAAATGGCAAACCCTCATTGATGCCAGCACTGATGTCAAGACCAGTGATGGATATTTGTTGCGTGTCTTCTGCATTGGATTCACCCAAAAGAACACCATGTCTACCAAGAAGACCTGCTATGCTAAACACAACCAGGTAAAAATTTATGAATTTGCAAAACATTTCAAATATTATCACTGAACATTTAAATGATGACAAACTCAGCTCTCTTTGACACACACATGAAGAAATTTATGTTCCCTAATATATTTTAAATCTGACAAACAAAATTCAATTGATGATTTTTTTTTGATTGTTTCTTTATTGTTATTAATATTTATTCGTTTATTTAAGGTTCGCGCTATCCGCAAGAAGATGGTTGAGATCATCCACCGTGATATTGCTGGCAGTGACTTGAAGGATGTTGTTAACAAGCTCATCCCAGACTCTATTGCCAAGGACATTGAGAAGCTTTGCCAAGGCATTTACCCACTTCACGATGTTTACATCCGTAAAGTAAGTTATACGTTCATTTGCTTGATCTACTTTGCAACATTTATATGATGACAAACTCAGCTCTCTTTGACACATACTTGATGAAACTTAGTGTTCCCTATTAAACAATTTGTCTGATAATTTACTTTTATGCTAAAGTTCTTCATGCTATTTTTAATTGAATTATATTAATTGTATTTTTTTTTAATGTTTTAGGTTAAAGTGCTCAAGAAGCCACGTTTGGACATTTCCAAGTTGATGGAATTGCACAACGACGGTGGAAAGGGAACCTCCGCTGAAGTTGCTGAAGGTGGTGCTAAAGTTGACCGCCCAGAAGGTTATGAGCCACCAGTACAGGATACTGTGTAACTTATGTTTAAATAAACTGAAAAATTTTCCAATATTGTATTTTTATTTTCTTTCATTTCTTTACATTATTTTATTATTTTTATTATTATTTTATTTCTTCAATTATATAATTGAAACTTAGCTTTACTATTTTCGAAACACATGACATTCAGTTCTTTCATAGAAAAAAGACCTCTATTTATAAGGTTGAAAATTTTCAAAAATAAAACCTGCAACTTTTAAAGTGATCGAGAAATTATGATTGAAAGTCTCGCTTTTCCAATGATCCTAAGGACATCTTCAAACAAAAGATAACTAATTTACACGAAAATGAAAAAAAAACGTGAAAACTCGCCAGTAGGCTTGTAATTGTGGAGAAATTCAAGAAAAATTGAAAAAAAATCGGGAAAACCCATGCAAATATTTGAACCTAACGATATTTTCAATTTTTTAAAAACCCATGTAAATATTTTTAAGAAAATCCTATTCACTTTTTTTCCAATTTCTACATCTCGTAGAATGGTAGATCATGGGATTATCAAGAAATGCACGTAAAACTGAAAAAAAAATAGGAAAAAACGAAGTTTCTTTGTTACGTAAATTTTGTTTCATAAAAAAATGCGTAAGGGTGGCACAAAAGTTACGTAATTTTCGTGTAATTCAGAAAAAAAACGAAAACTCGTCGGATCTCAACGAAACAGCATAGTCATTCATTCCGATCCTCACGTTTACATTAATTTTGGGATAACCACACAGAATAATATCGAAAACGATTCCTGCATAGATAATTCAATTTTCGGAGTACCTGAAAATTTCGTCCATTTGCCAATTGGATTTTGTTAAAATCGTTAATAACTCGAAATCTAATAAACTTTTTTTAAAATATGATTGCATAATCAGGTGTGCGCAACTCGTTACGTTATGTATGTTGCGATCCCACAAGCTTACAGTTTCTTTTTTTTAAATATATTGGTATCTTATTCTAATTTAGTATATGTCCTAAGATAAATATTAAAGTAGTGTTTAGGTGGATATGATCAATTGAAAACCATAGAAAATAGTTTGAGGAATTATTATTTTTTTTATTGTATTATTTTGTACATAACAAGTTCGAAGAGTAAAAACATTACAATACTTGGAACGCTTCACATATTGCTAATGGAAACAAACATAATACAATAATTATTTAATCTGTTTTGGATTATTTCCCGCGACATCAATTCGCGTTCAGTAAAATTCTTTTCACTCTGCATTTTAATGTCTCTTTTATATATATATGTATAGATTTATTTATTATATATAGTATATACAATTGTGCGATAGAATTGAATTAGTAGTACTATGTACAAATTATTTACAGACATTGAATATTCTGATTTGGGGGGATAAACTTAAAGAGTATTTTTTTTTACTTAAACGTTAAGTAGATTCTGTTTAACGGGAATAGAATAGGTCAACGAAAAGAAAAATAGAGATACGAAGAGAGAGAGAAAAAGAAAAACCGCAATCGCCTAAGTTATATTAAAAAAAAATATATATGTACTATTTGTAAAAGTAATTGTTCAGTCGATACCTGCTTGGGGGAATGTATCAAGTCAATTAAAAACAAATAATAATAACATTATTTACAATCACAAAAATATATAAAATTAATTATCACATTCTAATTTCGGATTCGTGGGTTAAAGGATGATGAGGGCGAAGCTACGAGACGGTCATGCACGAAATCAGCTGTTGACAGAGCTGGTGATAGACCTGGTGGTCGCCGGAGATGCGCCTCATCTTCAGTCCTTTCGAATCCTTCTGCTTGCAGACGATCTTCAGTTCGATCTGGACGCCCCCCTCGAACTGAAGACTGATTTTGTCCGGCAGCGAGTCGCAAGCCTTCGCGCTCATCTGGTGACTGCTGATCGTCCTCTTCACCATGTCGAGGATGTCCGTACTCTCCAGCTTCGAGCACACCTCTGACAGTTCGAACTCGAAATCGCTGACGAAATCCGGACTCTTCTCGGTGAAGTTACGTATCATCTGGAAGTTGTTCGCGCCGGCGTTTGCCAGTTCCTGCTGGATCTTTTCCATATCTGTGGGCCGGTTCCGCATTTCTGAATGGCTGCTCTGCGTGTTGCTGCTGGATCCGGGACTTTGGTTACCGATGCTGAGACTATCGTTCGATAAGCTATCGTCCGAATAGCAGGAGGACTTGTCCGAGTTCCTTCTCAGTGAAAACTCCTCACCGGTCATCTCCACGGTCTCGTTCGAACTCTTCCTGCCGATACCTTTGGTTATCGAGGGTTGGTTTTCAAGCGGTTTTGAAATCAGAAATGATGGCAGCATCTTCACCGAAATCTTGTGGTTCTCCAAGCTATCCATGGAATCTTCGGAGGTGTCCGATCCAGCCACTAACGTCACTTCACTACCTGCAAGACGATATAACAACATTGGTTATACAGATGGCAAAAATAAACGTAAATTAAATTACCTTGAACGTCGGTTACGGAGATCTGAGGATGGCCAACCGAAGTGATCTGGTCCAGCTTCTGGAGGGAATGCATGTGTGGCGGCAGCTCTTCCTGGATCATGTCCAATCCGGGACTGCCCGGATTCGAGATCGGCGAGTTCGTCAGGCTCCGGTGGTTATGAATGTTCAGCATGTGATGCATGTGGTGGGTTTGATGCAAATAGTTTGGCTGAAATCCAAGCAAATGCGGTATTAATTTAATACGAGAACAACGCACACATCCGAAACGTGCATACCTGGTTTTGCATATAAGGCTGGTAACTCGAACTTCCACCACTCAAATCCAATTTCGCGTCTTCCTGAAGCCTAGCTTCCAATTGAATATTGCTAGGTGTTCCTTGCGTTATCGAACCGCCAACACCAGTATTTAAACCGCTTATACCTAAGCAATTAATTATATTTATATCTGAATGCTATTAAAGTAATACAAACTACATACCTTGAGTAATTGAGGATATACTATTAGGTTGTATGCTGTTATAGAAGACAGGAGAAGTTCCTGGACTATTTAGATTGCTTAAGATGGGTGAATTGTTACCCGAATATAAGCTCAAAGGTCCGTAGAAAGCAGAGTGATGGATGGGAGAGCCCAAACCTCCGCTGCTATTTGTGTAAGGCGACATATTTCCGGAATGAAGTGGACTATTGCTATAACTTCTGCTGGTGTCGTATCTGCACGCAAGTAAAGTCAAATTAGTTTATTTAGAGTTAAAATATGCAGACTATATTATACCCGTAATTGTTCTGCGTCACTAACACCGAAGAGCTCTGACCGTTGAACAGGTCGCTACCTGAAGGCAACTGAGAATCTCTGTATTTCTGCAAATCTACGGTGTCAGTGCTGTTCGAAAACAATTGATGTATGGGTGAGGTGGTCGTCTCGGCTAGGCACCGTTGATCCGACACCATCTGATGAATAGGAGATCCTGCAACAGCGGAAGCATAGATTTAGTTCTCACTGTAAAATTAATAATAATCCCACGTCATACCAGGAATCGATCGCGGCGGACTGGATCTGGTGGCCAAACCCCGTTGTAACCTTTGACATTCCTGCTGAGGAGTGGAGGGGCTCAGTGTCCGAGACCCCGAAGCTGATCCCTCGCTGCCTCTGCGAACAGGACTAAATCTCTCCATCGACTTCTGCTCGCGTCCTGCACAAGTAGTCAATTACAATTAGCAGGAGTTCGATTATAGATGCTTCGAAAGTAAACCACACTATACTACTACCACTTTAAATGTTCACATCTCAAAATACGTATACATATAATTACCTGAATTACACTCTTGTACAGTCGGCAAATGCGGTTTGGCAGCATGACGCGAGTGCTTTCGCGTTGGTGGCAACATGTTCGGCATATAATTGCGCTTCATACGTGCCTCTACTTCCATTACAAGCTCAGGTGAAATCACTACATCAAACATGCAAAACAACAACAAAAAAAAATAGGAAAAAAATAATAATAACGAAAATAAAATATAAACGTAAAAATAAAAATTAGAACAACAAAACGGTAACGACTTGTGCAATAATAAATAAATAAATCTGCATGCTATGAGTGAAAATGATAACAAGTATAGTCCAATCGTTGAGAGATCAACGAGCATCTCACCAGGTGGGCGTTCCATCACGGTCAGTAGACCGCTACGTCTCGTTCGTCCGCCGGTCGTGGTCGTCGTCTGAAGGGTGTGGACCTCCTCCGGATTAGCCATCGTGTGTCTTTTGGAGTTTCCCCTGCACTGCATGTATCTGGCGACGGCGTAGGGATCGGCCAGTTCATCCAAACCGGGTTGACTGTGTTCAAGTGGAGTGTGGGCCGTGGCACTGCTGAGACTCGCGTTCCCACTCGAACTCGAAGACATGCCCATGTTCAATTGCTCGTGCGATCCGCCCGGTTGACCCCACATCATATGTAGATTAGCACCACCATCTTCGGATCGAAATATTGAATTGGATTGGATTAATCAATTTCGAAATGCATTCTACAAATATTTTCTAACATACCCGAAGCTCTACGACCGAAACCACCGGCGGCATTTAAAACCGTTGGGGGCTTCAGCAGATGCGGGTCCTTTCCACCAAAATTATAGGGACTCTGTTGACCCAATAATGGTAAGTGAAGTGGTAGATTGGTTTGGGGTAACAGGCGAGGAGTGGCACCACTCGGATGAGACATATGTGACATGTAGTGATTTTCAAGAACCTACAACATAGTAATAATTTAGTTACAAGAAATATAAGTATTTCTAACTACAGCTATAATATCAAATATATATAACACATACAAATGTGGGAAAAAGATGTTTGTATTCATTCAAATATAAGTAAATTTAATTACCTGTTCATGAGCTGGATCACCTGGACCAACTGTATGCCGTCTCACTGTTAAATGGTATTTATCTGATGACATGGATGAATTGTAGCTATCGTAGCCCGTGGATGCTGTTGAAGGAACTGTTAAAGAAGTGGTATCATCGCTATTTTCCAATTCCATTTCGCCGAACTGAAAATACGATTGTTAACAATGTCCTGTCCATAATTATACTCATTTCTATTACTTTCTCCAGATGGAGCGAATTTTCTTCGCCGCCCATGAGATAGACGGCAGGAATGGTAGGCATGGAAACAAATGGCGATCCGGCCTCTTCGTTGACAGGCGGTACGATTTCCGGTACAGCCATGACAGCGGATGCGCCTTCGTTGAAGGACCTCCGTCGCTGCTTCACCTCATCCCTGACCGTTCGCAGGCAGTTCTCGTTGAAGCTCTCCCTGCGAACGCACGGCGACGTCGGCAACTCCATCTTATCGCTCGCAACCAGCTCGCCGGACCTGCTACCCACTTCATTGTTCAGGTTCGTCACAAGTTGCTCGTTGAAGGATTCGCTGCGCTCGTTGACGCGGGCTGGTCGCATCTGCTGTTGAAGCGCCGTTTCCTCCATCGAACTGTCTAATGGCGTATCACATTCTATGCTTTGATTGCTGACCGTGCTGCTTGACGCGCTGAGCGATTGCCTGTTCAGCAGCTTCGATTGGAAGTTGATCGTCCTCTGATGGAGCTTGTCAAGCAGCAGACTGTAGATCGCGTAGATGTGATCGAAAGAGTTGCTCTTCAGGCTTTGCAGGATCATGACTCGCGTCATTCCGGGCAGCTGCAGCATGTGCTCGATCACAGTGTTGTTGAGGTGCGTCTCCTTCTCGGGACGGGTGTCCAACAGTTCCGTCCCCCTCAGCCAGAGGTGATTCTGTATGCTCGGCAGACTCAGTCTTTTCTCAGGCTCCACAACAAGCATATGTCTTATCAAATGTTCACATTCTACAACAATAACAAATAATTAGTAAACAGATTATTAAAATAAATCTACCAATGAATATTCAAATTTTATAATCGTATGACATTAATATACCTTGAGTCATGAAGTAGGGAATCCGGAATTTTCCCTCGATGACGATGTTGCGGAGGGCATGCAGCGTTGTGCCGTCGAATGGTAACGATCCACAGACTAATACGTACAAAACTACACCTAAGCTCTGCAAAATTTCAGTAAATTAGTTTTACTTTCCGTATTCCAATTTGTTTTGAATCTAATATTACCCAAATATCGGCTTTGGGGCCGTCGTATTTAAGGCCTTTGAATAGTTCCGGAGCCGCGTACGGCGGAGATCCGCACCAGGTGGAGAGTTGGACATCTGCGGTGAACTGATTGCTGAATCCGAAATCCGCCAGCTTTTCCAAAAACGAAAAGAATATGATTAGTTAATAAGATCAGATGAAAGTTTATTGCAGGTTTTACTTTGATGTTCATGTTGTGATCGAGCAGCAGGTTCTCGGCCTTCAGGTCCCGATGGACGACGCCCTGCGCATGGCAATACCCCACAGCCGATACTATCTGTCGGAAGATTCTCTTCGCTTCAGTCTCCGACATCCTGCCTTTCGCCACCAGATGATCTGCAATATCATATTAACTTAAATTAACAACTACTGCTAATTAAATAGATTTCATTAGTATAATCACCGAATATCTCTCCTTTGCTGGCATATTCCGTGACCATGTAAATAGTCTGATCGGTTTCCATCAACTGGTAGAGTCTGGTGATGTGTGGGTGTCGCAGCTTCTTAAGGATAGCAGTCTCTCGAAATATTTTCGTTAAATTCTCTTCGTCCAGAGCCGTTTTGTCGATTATCTTTATGGCCACCTACAAAAAAAAAACAAGAAACAACATATTTAATTTAACAAATAAATTAATTCATTTTTTCACAAGTAATAACAAATTGTCGCAGCTTTTATGTAAAAACAGAAATGACAAAGCATATGTGAAAGAAAGAGTATAATAATTAGCATCGGAAAAATAATCTTGAACTGAACGAGTCGAAGAAGAAAGCGTATTGTAAGTTTATGCGCGATTAAAATCAGTTCAATTGTGGAACGCAGATATTGTCTGTCCCTCTGAATGTGAACGCGTTTTGGAGTGTGTGTGTGTTTGTATGTTTATTCATGCATTTCCAGTCGTTACAACAATGAGAACATGAACTCGGGTTATTCACGAATCAATGGATTTTGCTTAAGAAAAAAAGTATACTGCATTGAAGAAAACACCGTGTTTACTTCAGTCGATTGCAAAATAATTTCCCTAACGAAAAATCACATCTTTTTTTCAATAAAACTGTAAATTTAACATTGATTCTAATTACTTCTAATTATTTTATTAACGAAAACTCATATATTTGTTGAAAAAAACAAGAGAAAATTTGAATTATATCGTTCTTAAGAAACAACAATTTTAAACTTCCAAAGATATGGACGAAAACGTGTTTATTTTTTTCGATCTCGTACATTGTGCGTGCAATTAACACGTCTTATTTGACTTGAAACCACGTAATTCGATGACCGTCCTATTTTTCTTTTCAACAACACGAATCTGAGAAACGTAATGCTGTAGTAGCTATTGATTCACAAACAAACAAAAAAAAACCGACGAAAAGCGAATCTGAAGTATCGAACGTGTAGATAACAGAAAATATCTATTGTTTCATTCCATTCATCATCATTGGTCCGGTTTATTTTATTATTTCATTATTAATAAATTTTTTTTTCTCAATTTATTTTTAATCCATATCTTCGATTCATTTGTGTGTGTTTTTCGTAATTCAAGAAAACAAATACGGAAAATAAAATCAAAAAAGATACACCAGATTAGATAAACGCGAAGACTGATGTATATTCATAATAGAAAAATAAATGAAAAGAAGTAACAAAAACTATTAGTTTATATAATTTAATAATTATATTAATTTTAATTAAGAAACAAACAATATTTGGTATTTCGAGAAGATGAAGCTATAAATCAGTGTTTCTCAATCCACCTGTCAGCTTACGTAAACGTCAAAAATATTATGTTATAAACAATTGGTACTACAACTAGTCATGCGATTGAAACGTTGAGAAACGTACGATAAATGAATGTTGTGACAACTCCTGAAAACTGGTTTTAGAAGATAATCACAACTAAGCCTTTTGATAAGAACACAATATTATAAATCAATTATATCTATTTATATAAAAAAAAATGTTAATAATAAACAGGGATAAGGCAATTTTTAGAGTATTTCTACTTCTTTTCTCTCGATTTATATAATTATTAGACTGCGGTATCTATTTTTATCAGAATTATTTTGATTGTATCTTTAGACAACCTTGTCATTCTTATTTCAATTAGTTTCAATCAGAAATGGGAACATTCCAACAACAAAAAAAAAAAAATATCATCATATCATATTGTTTACTCAAAAACTAAATTAAGCAGATTTTAAATGCACGTCAAACTTAAATGCGGATTTTCTTCATCGCACGAACGATAAACAAGTTAATCCAATTTGAATATCAGCGAAATAAGTTTTCCCTCTTCGTATATCATTTAATAACAAAAAAAAAATGTGTATATATATATATATGTTCGATCTAAATATTGGGACTAGAAGGCAATGAATTAATTGTAAACATAACTGAGTCACCTCGTTGACCCGATAATGCAAGTTGTTACTCCTCTGTAAGAGCTGGTTACGATTATCTGACTTCAACAGCCGATTAAAACATTTGCTGCACATTTAATTAACATGTTATTATTTAGATACGCTCAAAGCTCGAATGATAATTGTCAAATATGCTGCTTCGATACTGCTTTCATGTACAGTCGAATTCCTTTGGATATTAGCAGGAAATGGTTTGGAGCGCACGGGGCGATTCCTAATTTGATTCGGTTTGGATCAGAGCCAATCAGTCAATATTTATAATAAAAATATTTGTGGATCGATGATGATCAAATATTTGGATTGCGAGTTACATCTTTCTTCGATTACTCTAATTAGTGATGTTAAAAAACAAACAGGTATTGACTATTGTTGAGGCTAAGAAAGTAAGAACGGTGTGCAGGAGCGCGTGCACGTCAAAGCCTAGACGTTATGCAACTCGCGCTCGGAAGATGATGATAACACTTTATGGCAGCTACAATAAAATTAAAACAGAGAGAGAGAGAGGAAAAATAAAACGTTTTTGGAGACGGTTGAGCGGATTACGTGCTGGATCGATTCGAAATTAGTGTATTAACCTGAGCCGATAAATAATGGATGCGATGGCATTGGGATGGAATGAAAGGAGAGAGAGGAGGAAAAAAATCGTACGAGTTTGGTTTTGGAGGAGAGAACTATCGGTATGCTCTCTTGAGAGATAAGTCAGCCGGTTTGATCTAGATTTCGAAAGCGATCTTGACTTATCACCAAAAAATAATACAACAAATATGAAAGGGAATATTAATAATAATGGATGAGAGCGTATCTATTGTGTGTGCGTTTCTCGTCTATGTAGAGCAGTCTGTCTCCGTTTCGTTTCGCGCTGGAAATGCCGATGGAATGTAATGTGTGTGTGTAAATGTGTATTATCTCTCTGAATTGGCGTTTCGGTCGCGTTCTATTATACAACTGAGCGATAATGCGGCTGGCGTGTAGCATCGGAGTCCCAACAATTCCAATAATAATTTCATTGACACTAACAATTTAAACGGCTGACCCGAAGAAGGATAATTGAACGACGACACTCTAGCAACAGCATACGCACTCGTCGGATCGCTGAGATGATGGAGCGAGTCTTATTCACTTGAATATTCAACATCTCTCTATCTGAAACTGGGCTTCTTTTTCTTCTTCTTTGCTTAGGAAAACTAATGCACAGGCCCATAAATCTTCGCGAAGAATGGCTGCGGTATCAATGCTTATTGCCTATTAATAGGTGAAGAAGCACCCGCCGCTCGAGCGCATACACGCACACTTAATGGTACCAATTAGCAGCAGACCCCACACACAAAAAGTGCACTTGGCCTATATTTACTGAGAGACGACATGCAACTTATAGAAACTTTATCCATCGACATTCGAATATCTATTCTTCAAATATTGAATGAAAGACTGCACTTTTAATTCCAATATTTGAAGATGAATATTTCATTATTACTTTTTATGGGACACAACTTTTTTGTTTTTTTTTTAGTTATTCTTAGAATTAAACCAGTGTTTCTTAACTTAATTTTTAACAAGTCACAAAATGACAGCTCACTTCTTGTGTTATATGTTGAATCGCGTTGCAACAAAGCTGAATTAGACTATGAAATTGGTTTACTAATAATTTAGATAATTGTTTTTAAATAATATCATTAAAATATCGGAAAAGAGTAATTTAACTAGAATTTTTAATTTAATTTTTTAAAGATTTTCAAGAAAAAATAAATATTTCATTATTACTTTTTATGGGACACAACTTTTTGTTTTTTTTAGTGATTCTTAGAATTAAACCAGTGTTTCTTAACTTAATTTTTAACAAGTCACAAAATGACAGCTGACTTCTTGTGTTATATGTTGAATCGCGTTGCAACAAAGCTGAATTAGACTATGAAATTGGTTTACTAATAATTTAGATCTTTTTTTTTAAATAGTATCATTAAAATATCAGAAACGAGTACTTTTAACACGAATTTTTAATTTATTTTTTTTTTAATTTTCAAGAAACAATAAATATTTAATTATTAATTCATTTTTTTAAGATTTCCAATAAAATGGACTTTAACTTGTAACTGAAACATTATTACTTCAAATAGAAATTAACACTTCAAACATAACATATTTACTATTTGCTTCGAGCATATCTAAATAATAACAAAAGCAACAAGTTTAATATCAGTTCACATAATAGATAAGACACAAACTAGTCTTAGCAAAACCGCAATTATGAAGAATTATTATTTATAATAATCAGTAAAACCAATTGAAAATAATTATTTCTTATTTTTCTAATAGTAATTAACGAATTAAACAACAAATTTATTATATGTTTCAGTGAAATTTAAAGATTAATAAGAACATTTGATATATTCAGACAATTGCATTTAGCAATTAGCAGGGACATGCAATTAGAGTTGAAACTTAATTAAATAAAATGTGAACATACTTTACTGTAGATAAGCGTAAATTGTCTTACCCAAAAACCACAACCATTAAGAGTGAAACAAACATATTTACAGTAGTACTTCTGACAATAAATTAAATTCAAAGTACCGCATCTAACTGGTTCAAGCAGATAATCATAACTAGTTTAATCGAAATACGGAAACTTGATGAAACAAATTTTAATGTCATATTGATTGTCATTAAAATTTTATTGAAGATCTTTGCAAAGCATCATTTGTTTCAAGACTTATTACGAAAATGAGCGTACTTATGCAATAGTAATTTAGACCCACCAGAAAATAGACACTCAAAAAGTTTGGGAATTGAACTATTCGAAAATTGTATTTGTAAACAAAACAGTCGTTTTTGATGGAATTATCAAGGATGTTTCACGTTCAAGAGTTCTTGAACATCTTAACGGCTCTCCGACGGTGACGTTTGTTTGTTTATATAGGCCGTACACTTAACCGGTCGCGGTTCAAACAAATTTAAAAATAGGAAGAACTTTCTAAATTATTGTACATCACCAACAAAAAAAAAAATACAAAAAAAAAGAAAATCTATTTTCGGACCGTAATTTAATTATCAAATAGTATAAAAATACTTTGAAGATGTCTAAAAATACTCGAAACAGTGACGCGAGATTAGAGTCACTTACGAAATCCAAACTTGGGATCATCAATTTGTCAAAATTCGACCAATT